CTCTTCAGTGAAAATCAACATGAGAAAATTTTCCTTTTTGTCGCTTTTGCTCTGAAATTTCATGTTCTTTTTCACTGAATATCAGGGATAGGGATTTTGAAAACAGCATTAAGTCTTTTTGCCTGGAGAACATAAACCAAGTATTTTAAACTGCTAATCTTTCAAGCAGTACAGTTGAAACAATTAGAACTGCAATAAATTAGGGATGGATCTTTAGCTATAGCTCAGAGCAAATAACTACCAATTAAGGGCAAAACATATAGTGATAGCATTACTTCCATCAGTACACCAGTGATGAAATATAAATATGAATGCGCTCCTTAATTTCACTGCTGGAGTGTGTTAATTTATTTATAACCTTAACACACAGCAGATGTAGCAAAAACAAAAATACAGTGGTGAAATAGGTGTAGTATATTAAGCTTTATAAATATTACAGTACCATACATTTCATTCAAATATAACTTCAAATTGTTTAGGGTTAGATTAGGTTAGCAATGCTGGAGTCTCCTTTAGAAGTATCTATATATTAGAATGGCAGTGTTTGAACTTTGTCCATCTGCAAAATAGATGTTTTTAAAATTGGAGTTGTTTCAGGGTTCTGATTATTCCATCTATTCAATAGTATTTGTATGCTATAATGGGGTCTTAAGATAAACAGGGAGTCCTCAACTTACGACCACAATTGGGACTGAAATTTCCACCGCTAAGCGATGCGGTGGTTAAGTGTGATGTCATATGATGGCATCGCTTAGCAACAGCAATTCCAGGCAGTCCCATGGCTGCTGCAACCCCAAGAGGTGCGGGTCATTAAGTGGGAAGAGGTGACAGTCCCAGGTAAGAAGCATGGGGATGCCGCAGGAGGATGGGGGAGGCCTGGAAGACTTCACATGGCACAAAGGGATTTCTTGGCACGCCACAGCTCTAGGTTTGCAAAAAGCAAAAAGCCCCAGAACTGGGGCATGCTAGGAAGTCCCCTTGTGCCATGCTGCTGGGCCAGTCTGGAAGAAAGGCCCTTTTGGAAGCCCAAAAGGAAGCCCCTTTGCACCATGTGAAGCCCAACCTCAGCAAAAAGCCCCAGAGCCACAGTATACCAGGAAGCCCCCTTGCGCCACAAGCCCAGGCCAGCAGCATGGCAGAAAGGGGCTTCCTGGTGTTCTGCAGATCTGGGGAGTTTTGCTTTTTCTAGCCCCAGAGCTGTGATCTGCCAGGAAGCCCCTTGGTGCCATGCAAAACCCAGCCCAGCAGCACAGGGAGTTTCTGGCTTTCTGGCGTGCCACAGCTTTTTGCTTTTTGCAGCCCTAGAGATGTGGTACGCCAAGAAGACCCTTTGTGCCACGTGAAACCCAGCCCTGGGAAGCACAATGCAAAGCTGCTTGCCCATGGAAGCCCCAGCTGCTCCAGCCCAGTCCCAGCTGCAGTTGCCCTTGCCACCTTGCATTCCAAGGCCCCTACCGCCCTGTGTTCCCCCACCCCAGCTGACCTTCAGTGTCTTCTTGCTCCCGCTGATGAGGTGTGCCCATACTGGCCCTTCACAAGGCAGCTGCTGGCCACGTGAGGCCATCTTCCCCAGGTCTCGCAAGGAAACCGCCATGCATGACCTTGGGAAGAAAGCCTTGTGCGGCCAGCAGCTACCTCACAAAGGGCCAGACCGGGCATGCTTGGTCAGCAGCGGGAGCAAGAAGATGGTGAAGGTCAGCTAGGGCGGCAGGGGCTGCAGAGTGCAGGGGGCCAAAAGGGCATAGTTGGGGGGAGATAGGTGGGTGCGATCATAAGTGCAGGCGAACTGCCAAGTGCCTGAATTTTGATTATATGATTCTGAGGGTGTTGCAATGGCCGTAACTTCAGGGACCGGTCGTAAGTCCATTTGTTCAGTGCCATCGTAACTTCGAACCGTTGAACGAATAGTTGTAAGTTGAGGACTACATGTAGTTGCCTTGTAAATTATACTGAAAGTATATAGTTATCTCACTTTAGCCTATAAAAATGAACCAATTATTTCTGGCATTTGCTACAAAGCCCTAATCTAATCTTTAATGACTGTTGCGGTGCTATACCTATTTATATATATCTTCATTTTTAACAGCTATTGTAACTGAAAAAAGGGTAACATACTGATAAACTTCAAAGCATTGTAGGTCATCAACATGTTTTTATTGCTAATTTAAAATAATGAAGTATTAGGATTTCCGTTCAATTTAATTTCTGGAAAAGCACTTTTCCTTGCAATGTAATAATTTACTTTAGTACATCTCATTCTTGTAATAACTGATTTTGCTGATTTTGTTAAAGCATACTGCCAGGTACTAAGATAGATTGGTTTGAACAACCCTAGCTCTTTTGTTTGAACTGAAGTAACTTCTTGCTGATGTTATGATAACAGTCAAAACTGCAGAAACTCTATAGCAACTACTTGTCCTGTGGATTTGCCCACAACATTTCCCATGTAGATCAGTTGAAAGAAGATATGAAGAACTGTAAATTCAAAAAGAAAGGAGAGTTTTGTCAAGATTCTTATATTCTCCTTTTTAATAAATGGATAAAATAATGGAAACATGAGATAATGCTAGTTTGTATCATTGATTTGAGGGGAGCTTTGCGGGGATTTATTGTATATATCAGTATATGTACATACATATTAGGGCTGTGATGTTGATATCCTATCACATATGTGCATTTTCTCCAATTTCTGCTGCTGCAGCTTTTAACAAGTCGCTGACCAATTTTCAAAAATTGGGTAATTTATAATTGATTTGTCTGTTTAGTGGCAGTGGTGATATGTCTCTGAAGCAGCAACATCTGATGAACCATCATAGTGTTCATAAGGAGTAGAATTCTCCCTCCAAAGTATCATTATTCCTGTTATTGAGAACCGCTGAAACTTCTCTGAATGAATACAGAAACTTTGATCTAAAGAATATACAATTTCTTTAACATTTTCAACTTAATACATTAAATTAACAAGAAAAGAATGCTTGCTGCTGGGGAGATTACACAAACCTGTAAATATTGTTTAATCTTATTCATTAGATGCAATAATTTCCAACTTTTTTCTATCAAAATATAGGGGTGCGTGTGTGTTTTCAATCCCCCCTCCATTATTGGTTTTGTATGTTTTGTGACATCTTGAAATTAAATAATTTTCAGTCCTGGTATTTCTATAGTAGCTTTAGCTAAATTATAAAGCTGACAGTTCTATTGAATGAGTGCCAAATGCTTATAATTACTGAATCAAAAATTGCTTAGGATATCACTACAAATTTTGCATTCCAAGTTTCAAAATGTAGCCTGTATGTTGATGTTTCAATGAATCTGATAATAACTGGAAAAAAAATCCAATTATTCAAACATACAGGAAATAAATATTCTGATAAAATATGTGGTTTGAAAAACAATTTTCAGTAGCAACATATTTTCAAAATCTATCTTCAAATCATTACAGTTCCATTCTTTACCCTGATCCAAAGCTTGGTAACTGTGACTTTTTTTAGTACAATTAATGGACAGAGGAGATGATGAAGTGGTTCTCTGAGTACTTGATTTAGCACCCCCATCCACATTTGCAATGGTATTCTAAATTGAAAGATAGGCTTCTTTTGCAGAACTTGGAAAATTATTTCATCTCATTTAGTTTCTCTCTTTGGCCTAGGATATAGTCTGTCTATCATCAACAAATCTTGATTGCTTATAATTTGGGTTGGCTCAGGATTTTTCCAGGTTTTCCAGGAAAAAAAGAGAAAAGCCTGACAAAATTTTCAGCAGAAAAAGGTGCACTTGTTATTGTCTATCAGCAGCTGGAGGGGTCTGTGGAAGAACTACAATGCCCCTTGTCATGCTGTTATTCTGGGTAAGGGAAAAACCATTCTACATGCAAACAATTAGAATCTGAAATAAAAACCATCTGTCCGTTTTTAACCTATCAATGAGTTTTCCTTGAAATACTCCTCTCTTTTCTTTTGGAATACTAGCCTGGATATGATAATTGGTTGATTGATAAATTATAACTGATTGTTTCCTTTGACTACACTCACTTGTTGTGTGAGTATGCAAAGGCCACCTGAAGCTTCTCAAACCAGAAGGGTTGAAGAAGATGTACAGTATAGAGATTTTAGTACCGCAGGGAATATGCTTGGATGTGTTCACTGACTCTGGAATAATAGAACAGATTATCTGATTTTACATTAATGCAGCTTTTGTCCTATATAGTGTAACAGTATTGATCATATATAAAATCCTTCTAAATTCTCAATAATTAATTCCTATTAATGAAAAATTCCTAATATGTTTACTGATCTATTTAGCTCACATGCTTCATAATCTAGAAATGTTCTAATTAATAAATAAATAAAAGTGTGTATGGCTCTGCAAACCTCTTTAGAGAGAAAACAGTCTTAATACTGATTCTTATACTTTAACAGCAGCTCATTGATTTGAGGAAGAATATACATCTGCTTTTAAAATGTGCAAAATAAATTGTTTTATTCGTTATCACAAATAACAAAGATCTAGAATCTTTCTGATCCCCATCATTTAATCCATTAACATGTGTTTTAGTCTAAACAAAATGTGCAAACCAGTCAGAGTAGAATTTTCCCCTACATTTGTTGCTGCTTACTTCCCAAGGAGAATAAAAGTTGTCTTATTCTGAGCTGATATTTTTTCCTGCAATACTTTTTTTCCATACTAGAGACATTTTAATACATGTTGAACTGGGCTTGAGGAAGAGAAGTTGGTTGTTGACTATGTACTTTCTGGGAAGCCTGCTGTACCAAGAGTTTATTGTATCTCTCCCAATGTGATTGCAGGTTTTAAAGATAATTAACCAAAAATTTATGATTGTGCATGCATAATTATATGTAATCATAAGCCATGTATTTAAATGCAAAGCAAATCAGTACAAGTTAGCTTCTCTCTTCTCTGTATATCTCAGCAAAGCTATCCAAAATTTTTATTACATTCTCTTTTTGACTTTTGCTTCCTCTTCTTTTCTCCTCTAACAGGATGAATCATCCATGTTCTTCCAGTTTGGCCCATCGATAGAACAACAAGCTTCTGTTATGCTCAACATCATGGAAGAGTATGACTGGTACATCTTCTCCATTGTCACTACTTACTTTCCTGGCTACCAGGATTTTGTCAACAAGATCCGCAGCACTATTGAGAACAGCTTTGTGGGCTGGGAGCTAGAAGAGGTACTTTTGCTGGACATGTCTCTGGATGATGGAGATTCAAAGATCCAGAATCAGCTCAAGAAACTCCAGAGTCCTGTCATCTTACTTTACTGTACTAAGGAAGAGGCCACCTATATCTTTGAGGTGGCTAACTCCGTTGGTCTGACTGGGTATGATTATACATGGATTGTGCCCAGTTTGGTGGCTGGAGATACAGACACAGTCCCCTCTGAATTTCCCACTGGACTCATCTCTGTGTCATATGATGAGTGGGACTATGGTCTTCGTGACAGAGTGAAAGATGGAATAGCCATAATAACCACGGCCGCCTCTGATATGCTATCTGAGCATAGCTTTATTCCTGAGCCCAAGAGTAGCTGCTACAATACACAAGACAAGAGGATCTACCAATCTAACATGTTAAATAGGTAAGGGAAATAAATATAATAATATATTGGTTGCTCACAAATTCTGATCATCATTAAAAGGCATTAAAAATATGTGTTGGAGTTGTTTTTTCCCTCTTGTATATGATTCTGAGCCAGTGCAAGACTAATTTAGATATTTGCTTGGGAATAAGGAACAGGTGCATGAATATGAACTTCTTGATGATAGGGGGTTGATAACAATTATATAATTCTAATGTTGAAAACTATGCTGCTGTTCTGGCAGCACTATTCTCGGGGCCTTCTGTGAGATGTGAAGTATAACCAGTGGAAATATTTATCAAGGAGGTTCTTGAAATAAGTATTTTTAAAAAACTGGTGGACCTGTAAATACCACTTGTAGGAACAGTAAATTTTTGGCAAGATAGGATAAGTAGAGGAACATGGCTACAGAGTAAAAAGCTGCTAGACTGCTGGGAAGGAAAACTGTTATACCAGGCATATAAGAGCAAGATGCAGATATCATAAGACAGATAAGAGTTAGATTAAGAAAGAAAAACATCAAGAATAATGAGGTCAATAGGAGAAGGGATTAGGAACAGGACTGGCACAGAGAAATGTCACAGGCCAGTATGAAAAAGCAGCCTACAGATGTGGTAGTTAGCACATCTAACATTGGGATATGTTATTATATATGTTTGGTGTACAATTAGTGTAAACAGTGCCAAGAAAGACAAGATCTTTTTCTAACTCACAAGTGAGAAGCAAAAGTCTACATGCTGGGATGAATGGTAGATTAATTCCATTTAGTGAAGTTCAAGGAAAAGGAGCCTATGCAGCGGTCAGCACCATTTATTTGGAACATGGGTTCAGCCATTGAATCTGGCTGGTGTTTTGTCAAGCCAGCTTCTAGCTGCCTCTTGAGGGTAGCACATAGGAGAAACAGTTTTTTGCTACAGTCTACCTTTAGTAGACATAACCTCACAGAACTCTATTGGGTATTTAAGGACCTGAGCAATTGGACCTCAGCCATATAACTATGACCTTTAAATATTACAGCAGCTCTGTGGGATGAAGTTACACGAAAGCATCTGTAAGAAGTTAAACTCCAGATTCTGATTTCAGTGAGATGCATATCCATAAACGTGTGTTAAGGATTATGGCCTTAAATTTTAAAATATTAAGCTAGAAATAAAAGCCAGTGTTCACCTATTTACAGAATCACCTTCCTACTGGAATATTTTATTACTGTGTAGTACAAATAAGACAGATTGTGTTTTCTTTCATGAAAGTAGAAGTTATATTGTGATCTGTGAAATATATATACTGGAATTGATCCAGAACCCCTTATTCACAGGACCCTTTGGATTTGTTCTGTGAGAAGTATTGTTGATTCTTTTGTACACAGTTTCCATTCTTCATGTTTTTATTTTTCGTAGAAAAACTTGGTGTCTGCACATAAACATTCAGTGTGTGCAATGGAAAAATGGGGCTGCAATCACAGTTTTAAGGGTTTTTTTTTCTAAGGTTACAGGTTTTACAGGTTTTATAGGTTACAGGTTTCCCTGGACTTATAAGTAGCAGTCAGTGAAATGAGAGGCTGACAATATAGTGCTGACACATCTGATATTTTGTGATTCCTCATGTATATGGGAAAGATCAGAGCAGAAAATGTGGGGCTGCTACTTTTGAAGGCAGCCATGCTTTCATTTCTGATTCAAGAGAGAGCTGAAGCTCTGAAACTGCCAAAGCAAGACATTTCAGACATCATTATAAACTCATTATACTCATAGCTATATGTGAGATTCTGTCTCTTTTACAGATTAGCAACCACAAGCAAGAAGCGTCCATTTATAACTCCTGTATGTAAGCAGGAGGTTATAAGTGTTAAATGAAACTGTTATTCATAAAGTATTTCCACGAGGGGACCTTTTTTCTGCCCCCTTTAATAATTGTGGAGGACTGCTGACAAGATGATGAGGAAAGGAAGGTGCTAAAGGAGCAATGTTTATGCGCTGCCTTTATGTGATGATATGAACGTCATGTAATATCATCATGTCATGGTTTACAACCATAAGCTCCTTCCCATAGAAAAAATAGTGCTGCTTAGCTGCTGGGAAAATCTGTGGTTCCCATAACGAACAGTTTTCTACAGGAAAAAACTTGTGATTCCTCCAAAGACCATAATCCAGTCTGTTTCAGACTTGTTTAAAGATTTCAAAATGTATCCAGTCAGATCTTTTTCTTTTGAGCAGCAGCCCCTATTCATATGCTTTAAATGAGGGCAGGAGAGCAGGACCGCTGCCGATCAGTGCATGGAACTAGATTTATGGCGTTCCTGACTGAGACAGTGGCCGTAGAATGAAAAAGAAGCACAGTTTTGAGATACATCTTATTCTAGTTTCTATAGTTACTTACCAATTCTTATTTTAATTCTCAGTTTACAGTTGTCCATGAGCTGCGGGCACTGCAAAGAGCTAGTCCTATTTAGAGTTGCTTTGGAAAACAGGGCTACTGCTGTCATGTCTGCCCTCTTCCTTTAATAAACTAATACTTCCACATGCCCAATTATAGTAATATTTGAAATAGTCTGAAGTGCTACAATAATTTTTAAGAACAACGTTGAGTTTTTTTTTTATAAAAAAAAGCATCGGTGCAAGTTTGTTTGCTGTTGTTGCTGCTGCTTCATACTGCTTGTACCACCATGTGATTCCTTCTGCAACGACCTGAGGTGCTTGGCTTTCTCTCTTCCTTTCCCATTTCAGCCTGAGATCTCCTGCTGATCTATTTTGCCACCCACCTTCTTTCTTTCCAGGTCCTAGATCATTTCATGGAGAGAATGACATCATTAGGCTGGACCCAAAGGCCTTTAGTGTTATCAGGCAAAAGAAGCACCAGTATAATGAGCCAGAAGCTGCAGCTATGAATACAACTGCAGCTTCTGGCTGCCTATCATAATGATATGATATTATCATATCATAATGTTTCTTTTGCCAACTGGTGAGGGAGGAAGGGAGGAAGAAAAGGTCTGTAGCAGTGGCAACAACAGGAGTGGCAAGAGGCCAGGAAAGGAGGTGAGATAATGTGGTGGTGGGCAAGAATGGGATCAGAGAAATAAAAGGGAGGGAAGAGAAAGAAGGAGGTGGGCAGAGACAGGCCACAAGGCACTGGGTTTGGATCTCTCAAATCCAGCAATGCTGCT